GATTGCACTTTTCGTCTAAACTCGAAGCAAACATAAGTTAAGTTGGCCCCAGAAAGAGTAGTAGAGATATTATGTTTACCTGAGTTAGCTGTGCCGCCTGAGTGCCCAAAGTAACACTTGGAACACGCCCAACATCGTCATTTGAGCATTTTGCAGATGGGCTAGGAGCTGAGCACACAGCACAGGGATGTTGCACCAGAGCCACAGCTCGGTGAACTTGCGAAGCTGGAAACGAAAGGTATTGTCCTTATGTCAGTGCTTCGGCAGAGCGAGCATCGCCATGGGCTACAACAAGTGGGTTCAATGTAGCTTGAGGAGCGGTAAAGTAGCCCGCTGAAGGCGCCGAAGCAGGGTACACCTGCGACGAGGCGCTCGATGCCAAAGGAATGGCCTGTACCAAAACGTACATCAACGGAGTGTGCTGCACCGGAGCAGCATACGAAGAATGTTGCAGTTGTACTGGAAAACTCGCACCTTGCGTAATGTCCGCACTCGCGATTCGATCCACTTCACCTACGCAGTTTCCGGTGGCAGGGCTACAGCTCCTCGCAAGTGCATCCACACGCATTGCGTCGGATTCATCCCCATCGCTGCGGGAAAAGAGCTTATTTTCTAAAGCTTTCAGTGAAGCTGGATTTTGGCACGAAGCGAGTGAGCTTGCTCGATCTGGTAATTGACTGATAGTTTCCCTTTTAATTTGATCCAGTCCTGGCTCCGAAACTGTAGCCCTAGTAGTGGATGCATCCTTGCATGAGCTCTTCTTCTTCGCGGCTGCTCTGCGATAGCGATCGCGCTGAAGAGCGTTCTGATGATGACGATGTTCATCGAAAAGCCAGTGCCGCCCTCCATTTGCCTTAATCGCCCTCTCATTGTTGCAGCGGGAGGGATACTTGCACAGCAGCGATCCAGGCTGATGAAGCGACTTCTCTCTACGGGCGCGCTCCTTTGGCATAGTTAAAGCTTAAACACGTCCAACAGTAGCACAGCATGAGTTACATACACGTGGTTACTTATTTAGCGAGGAGGGAGGACTCACCTCCTTTAGCGGAGCGTAAGGTACGAGCAGATCGTCGAGCTTCACGGCTGCTTCTTCTTGAAGTATGTGAAGCCTTTCAGCCTGTACAATATAATAACACGTTTGGGGGGGGACACCGAAAATATTTTCTTAGAAAATATATTTCAGCTTGCCCCCTTAGCAACCGTGGCGAGCACTCGCCTGAGGATGCTGCCATACTAGTTTAAAAGTATTCTTTCACGAGTTCACACTAGCACATGTTGATATTTCCGAAACCGAAACTCGTGCTCCAACTTCAAAAAGGAATTACTAAGTTGAAGACTAACTAAAAGTGCTCAAATTATCCTTGTAGTGGTTCGTTTTACGAAGTACGTACAGCCCTATAAGGATTAATTCGCAAGTTTGACTTATGTGGCGACCACCATCCATGACCATACAAAATTCAAGTGTTGCCCGTTAATATGTGGAGTCATGTGCATGTTATCCGAAGGGCTATTAGCACCAGGAGGGGTTTTGGTGGGAATTGAAAAGCGTTTCGGGGATATATTAAATTATAAAACCTAGAGAGGACCTGG